AGGGCCTACTACCACTGTGGGGACTGCCCAGTTTTAAATCATTATGTGTGCTTGTAGCTGCTATATTTAACTCACCCAGGGGTTTTCCTTTTCAAAGTAAGTAAATCCTGCTGCAAGGAATAACCATTCTTACAAAAACAATTCACTCAGAAGAGCATGGCTTGCAGCAGCATGCAGAGCTCACAGACCAAGAGCTGAGGCTGCTTCCAGACTGGCCAAGATAACTCGCTGTTGTACAGAGAAGAAGCCAGCCCTGTCCAGTTGGATTCCCAAGACTTGAGGAGGGACAGGAAGTTACCCATTGCTGCTCCCAGGAGGAGGGGAGAGCAGGAGCTGGGGGTTGCTTCCTGACCCTCACCCAAAGGTGGTCTTCAGACAGCCTGGCTCCTAGTTTCTCCTCCTAAAGTGCACTTTAGGAATTTTGAGCCTCAGTGTACAGCAGCCAGTGTCTGAAGGTAGGCCTCTGGGTCCTTAGAGCCCCATCTGAAGCTGAGACAGCGGCAGGGGGAGTGGTGAACACAGGAGCACAGGGATCTCTGCCCAAGCTGGGGACATCAGGGACCAAGTGGCATATCTCTGCCTCATTCTGGCCCTAGTCTGAGGGTCCTGCGTGCTGTCCTCACAACCCACAAAGGCCCCTTGGAAGCCCAAGTATACAGGGTGAGTGTCTCCTCAATGACGTACAGACAAGCCCCTACTGCTGTCCCACTCTGAGCTCTCTGTGAGATGGTCTTCCTGATCTCAGGAGTCACCCGGCTTTGTCCTGGATCCCAGCTGGAGACCTGAGAAGGTCTTGCCTTCTTACCCACTTCTCACAGAGGATCCTAAAGGAAAGACAAGGATAAGTCACCACGGTGACTCTCTCTAGTGCATCAGGGCCTGCCCATCAAAGGTGATCAGAGCTGCCAACAGTAAGGGGCTTGGGTAGGAGGTGCTGGGCCGCAATAGGACCCCTTCACTCCCTCTAGCAGGGCTGTGACCTGGTGCCCCTTATCTGAGATTTCATCATCATATCTGGCACCGTCATGTGAGACCCCCACAGCTCTACCTCGTGCCTACTGCAAGATGCAGACTCTGCCACCAGGCCCTGTGTGCCTGTGGCTGGCTGCTTTGGTTTCTCTAATAGCTGTTGTCCCAATCAGTACAGCCCACAGAGTCTGTGTATAAGGTACCCCCACCACAGAGTCCTGTCCCAGCTCAGTTACCTGTCCCCTCCACAGACAATCTTGCCTTCTCAGGGCCTGTGGACCAGGCCTCTCCTTGCAGGCTTCCACTGTCTCTGCCTTGGGGGACAGGTGTGTGGCACAGGTGTGGCAGGAAAATGCTGCCTGCAGACCTGAGACAGTGAGGGACAACCCAGGAATGTGACACCTCATGTGAAGTCACATGGCAGAACTCAAACCTTCCTCTTAGGCAGGAAGCAGCTTCATTATCCACTTCCTACTTTCCCAATTTGGGGTGTTAAGAGTGTCTTTGTCCTTGTGCCCCATTTTTAGAATCTTACCACATCAGGGGAGGGAGATGGATGCCTGCTAGATGCCACAAATGACACATAGTGTCCCTCGCCTGCATATTTTCCAAGGAGAATGCCAATAGCCTACACAGTGGTGGGGGCATTAGAGCTGGGCCTGGGCCTTGGCCGGCTTCCTCAGAGAAGCAGGGGCTGAGCTCTCTTTGAAGAGAGCAGCAGCTAGTGTATCCAGCCTCAGCATCCACTGCTGTCCCCTACAGGGCCCAAGGAAAAGGGACTCTCCAGATTGATATATGTGGCTGAGGGAGCCTAGGGACCAGAGAAGGGACACAGCATATTTCTGGGCTGTGGGGCAGCTGGGAGGAAGTGTTCCATGAAGGGGCTTCTTAGACTGTGGTGGGTCTCCCTCACGGTCTCCTGGAACAGAAGAGGTGAGCCCATGACCCACCCACCATTGCTGCCTCTGAGCGCAAGTTCTCAAGAAGAAGAAATTGGTGCCTGTCTGGCCCAGGAGAACCTACACATCACATTTCCCCACCTAACCCCAGGGGAAGAGGATCTGGGCTCTGCTTCAAGGAGCCCTAGCCAGAACAGGTCAATTACAGAGAATGGAGGGAACCCAGCAGGGTGACAAGCATGAAGGCTGGCACATCTACAGACCATGTCTACCCCAAAGGCCCAGTCTCAACCCAGACCATGGACACTCACATCAAACGCTGCCTCTGTCAATTATTGCAGCTCCAATGTACCCATCTCCTGAATGTGCCCCTAATTCTCTCAATAGTATCCTTGGGGATAGCACGGCTCTAGATCTGACCCCATGGTGTCCCCAGAGGACAGGATGGTACCATACACACCTCCAAGGACAATAGCTTGCAGCCCTCAATACTGCCCTGCCTGCCCAACCTTACCAGTTACCTGATCGCCTCACTAGAGAGAGCATGAATAGCCAGGAATTCCCTGTCTGCAGACAGCACCCAGGTCTAAGCCCAAGACTGCTGCTGCCAAAAAGAGCAAAGTGGAGAGGGTCCAGAGGCCAGGAGCATCCTCAGATCCCAAGGAGTCAGACAGTAAAAGCAAAACCAGAGCCAGGAAGCTGCAAGCTGGAAGCCATGTGACTGGTTGCTTTCAGGGGCACTCAGGTAGGGGAAAAGCCTCCGGTAGAAGGGAGATGCAACCCAGGAAGAAAGGTCCTGAATCCAGGCTCTAAGATGGCTCTGGGCATCTCAGGTCCACTAGACTGGGATCTTGGGATCTTAATGGACATGTCCTCACCCTGGAGGAGGTATGGGCTCCCTTGGGTCTGCTCAAGAGGCCATGCAGTATGGAGAATAGATGGGAAATGAGGATACATGTGCATACAGAACACAGTGATTCCCACCCACACTGGGATCAGAACTGATGGGAGCAGATATCTGCCATCAAGGTATCAGGTAAGCAACCTCATCTCCACCCAAGGGTCATCAACCCTGGCTTAGCTGGAGCAGACACAAGCAGCCTTCCTGTAGGGCTGGAAACAGTGTGTGCTGGGTCTGGGAGGGTTGTATATAGTTCTGGGAACAGTGTGTGCTGGGCCTGGGAGGGTTGTATATAGTGCTGGGAACAGTGTGTGCTGGGCCTGGGAGGGTTGTATATAGTGCTGGGAACAGTGTGCACCTCCCACTATTGATGCTGTCAAAGGAAGTGGCCCTACCACCCCCACCCCTACATTTCCTAAATGTCACTGTCACTCTTCTAAAATTCTCACCAGCTCAGGCCTGGGTACATGTGGCCCTAGAAGAGGAGGAACTAGGCTCACAGGGAGACTGCCTAACAGAGCCTGGGCCCATGGGAGGAGGACGCAGTAGCAAACCTACTTCTCCTTACAGGGTTCTGGAAAGCCCATGCCCTCACTAGGTCAGAGGCCCCTGGAGGAAGCAGCTGGCGCCTGGAGGTAAGCACATGGCCTACAAAGGGCGGGGCGGGGGGGGGCAGACTGACTTGGGAAAAGACTGTGCCTCTGAGGACTTGGGAATGGGTGCAGGGATAGAAACACAGTTCAGAAGGAGGCTGGGCAAGTTCCCAAATGCTGAGAGGGAAGACTGTTCAAGAGGAGGCAAAGAGGCATGGCATGCTCATGGCTGAGTCATCAGAGAAGGGTCTTCCGGTCAGCCCAGAAGGGTCCTCCTATGCCCTGCACTGCCCTTTGCCTTAATGGTCACCTCACCCTAGGAGAAAGATGAGGTTAGACGATTTGAGGAGCTGGGACTGGAAGTTGGGACTCAAATGTTTGCTCTAAACAACCCCTGGAGACTGGCCATTTCTCCTACGCCCTACATACGATCCAGGAGTCTGAGGCTTAGACAAGGAACTGGCGCAAACCACAAGACAGGCAAACTTCCCAGGGCCTGACACTGATTCAACCTCCTGGCCAGCCTCCCTCCATACCTCAGGTGAGGGAACATGACTCTCCGGGACCTAGCTCTCCCATCTGCAAACTCCCCTGTAGGGCTGGGGACAGTATATGCTGGGTCTGGGAGGGTGGATGTAGCACTGGGAACAGTGTGTGCCCCCACTATTGGTGCTGTCAAACAAAGAGGCCATACTACCCCTGCACCCAGAGAGAGACCTGACGCCACCAAGGGCTCACACAGAGTACCCTGGGGGAGACAGTGGCTGGAGTCAATGGCTTTGCCAGGCAGAAGCCAGGCCAGGTAGATTATAGCCAGTCCCAGAAGGCTCCCTGCCTCAAAGTCAACACCTACCTAAGTGCAGAAGCCCAGGGACAGCACCTACCTTCTGTAGCCTCATCAGTGGTCGGGGTATCCTTGAGGGGTTAGAGGCTGCACTATCAAGGGACAACCATCCAACCAAGTGTGATATGGAGCAGTAGGGAAACTTCAGGAGAGGTAACTAACTCATAAAGAGATTGAAGGGGGAAAGAGTTACAGTCTAAGGAAGAGGCAGCCAGTGCAGCAGGAGCCTGGGCCAGCAAGATCAAGGCCAGGAGGTGAGAGGAAGAGTGGTTCTCCGAGCTAAGTTGGACAGACCATGCTCTCATCTGAATACTCTGCACTCAGGTGGAAGGTACCTGCCTGTGGCCCTCAGATAGAGTCCTAAGCCCTTGTAGCTGTGCATCCAGGGTCCCCAGAGGTTTGGGATAGGTGCTTATCTCATCAAGCTCACCCACATCAAGCATGACAATGCTGAGGCCTGGAGGCCCAGGAGTCAGGACAGGACAAGGTGGTTCCTGAGGCCAGCACTTACCTTTTGTAGCCCCCCACCAGGCAATGGGAACAGCTCAGGTGGACAGCACAACCAAGGCCAATATAACAACTTCCCTTTCCTCTCTGTCCCCGGAGGTCCTTGAGGAAAGCGATGTTCCTGGCCTGGCGCCGCCTGCAGCTGAAAACCAATGTGAAGCCTATTGTTTCAGGTTAGAGCTGGTGGGGGCCACGGGAAGCCCCCAGTAATGCCCTATGTCCCACTTACTGCAGACCCAGAAGCCCGAGTGAGGAGTGCAACACTGGACAGAACAGCCTGCTCCAGGATGAAGGCACTCAGGGTTGTCCTTCTGGTCTTGCTGCTAAGTGGACAGTCAGGTGAGGGTCATCCCAAGAAGGGGTAGTCCAGTCCTGACTCATGAGTACCTCCAGGAACCCCTTATCCCATGGACAAGGAATAGGCTTAGGGAGGAAGATGGAGGGCCTGGGGCCCCTTCCTTCTGCCGGCTGCAGGCTTGACTGCTTCAGCACTACAGGGGTGGAGATGGGGAGAATTCTGTCTCCTTGTATAAAATGGAAAGGACCCGGGAAAGAGGGCATGTTAGGGTCAGGACTTAGTGCTCAACCCCGAGTGTGTTCTCTGCGTCTGGATAGCCGAGGCTCACAGATGTCACTGCACCACCAGGGAGCAGGCAGGCACAAGAAGAAGATGGCGATGTGGACTTGGGGCCAGAGAGCTATGGCTACGAAGATGACTATGAAGAGGAGGAAGAAGAGGAGACCAACATGGTCCCTGGCAGCAGGGACAGAGGTACCCACCCCAGCTGAGGGCCCGCCTCCTGCTCTGCATGGGGCATTCTCTATCACTTACCTCCTATCCCGAGGGTAAAGCAGAGCAAGCTGCTGGCATCCAAGCCAGGACCCAGCATGCCAGCACACCGGCTCTCTTCTCAGGCTGCAGTTTTCTCCACCCTGAGCTAACACTCAAGTCTGCCCCTCTCTGTCCACCCCACCCCCACCCCTGCCTACGTGCTTCCTTAGCCCTGGGTTTCAGCTTATCTGACTGACCCCCATGTTCTGTCGTCCTTAATAGCTCAAGGCACAGGCTCTTTCAAGAGGGCTAGTGGGTGATGGGTGGTGGATGATGAGGGCAAATACTTGGGGATGGCCCTACTCTCAACCTGAGCTGGCCTGCTACCCACAGAATCTTTACAGTGCTACATCTGCCAGTCGCTACACAGTGGGGAGAGCTGCAACCAGACACAGAGCTGCTACCACAGTAAGACCTTCTGCACCACATTCATCTCCCATGGCAACACTGGTGAGCATTTGGAGAGGCACACCCAGGGAGGGGGTCAGAGAAGGAGCCCACACTGACACCCACGCCCTGCCCTCACTACCTGTTCTCCACACCCCCTAGACAAAGGTCTGTTGACCACCTACTCCATGTGGTGTACCGATACCTGCCAACCCTTCACCAAGACGGTATTAGGCACCCAGGTGACCAAGAGCTGTTGCCAGTCCACACTGTGCAATATTCCACCCTGGCAAAGCCCCCAAGTCCAGGACTCTTTGGGTGGACAAGCAGGCAGCCCCGTGGATGGTGGAGCCAGACGTTCTCAAGGTGGCATTGCAGGTAGCCCCCTGGATGGTGGAGTCAGACATCCTCAAGATGGCAGGATTGACCACCCCCAGGTTGTCAAGATTACCCGTCCTCAGAGTGATGGGGCTAGCTTGCCCAAGGGTGGAAGAGCTAACAAGCCCCAGGGCAGTGGGGCAGGATGCCCTCCAGGCTGGCACAAATTTGGTAACACAGCCCTCCTGCTCAGCCTCCTCACTAGTCTATGGACATTAGGGGTCTGAAGACCTACCCTCCTCCTAACAGGATACCCTGGCCTCCCCTTCCCCACAGCCAGCTTCAGAGAATAAACTTGAATTCCTTTTGCAATCCAGCTAGCTGTAGCTCCTCTGACCATTCTCTGTCCTCAGTTTCACCCTCAGGCCTCCTCACCTTCTTCTCCTCAGCCATGGGCAGCTCCCTGGGTACCATGTCAGCCTCGGGTCCAGGCATCTCCTGCCAGTGCTCTAGGGATGGTCAGCTTACAGGGGTCCCACCTGCCCAGCTGCACAGAGATAATAGCAAGCCTGTAAGCCGAATTCTCTTCCTGAATTTGCCAGCATGAAATTATTCCCCGGAGCCACCATCTAAATAAACTCAGCCCTTTCACAGGTGTGAGGTGCAGGGTGATCCTCAGCCACCTGGAAAGAGGGAGTCTTGGAGGGAGACCAGGAAAGTTGCAGGGTTGAGGTAGAGTAACTACAGTCAAGGAAGGGAGGAGGCAGAACAGGCAGGAAGGCCCAGCTGCTGAGTAGGGGATTTCCCAGCTGCAACCTGGCCAAGAAATTCATCCTTTTAAGGATTCCAGACCCTCTCTCACAGCCCAGGCCTCCAGGAGCCCAAGATGGGCAGCAGGTCTGGGAATGAAAAGCCCGATGGGTTCTAGTGGCAGAGAAATGGCTAGCACCCATCCCTGCCTGGGTGGGTGGGTACCTTTTCTGGCTGGGGGAGGCACCTCCTTGATGGGGAACCTGGCCACTTGGCGGATTGGCAGTCCTTAACTGGGTGTGGCCCTTAGCAGCTGAGTTCTTGGCTTCCTTGACAGCACCAAGCTATTCTTCCACCAGCAGTTGGTGCCAGGACAGATGTCTAAGGTGAGAGAGAGAAGGCTAAACCTCGGCCACTGCTGACTTTGGCCTTAGTCTTCCCACTTGTGTAGCAAAGAATGAGGCTTAAGGGACTCCTAGGTCCCTGTAGCTAAATATTGTAAGAACTAGAAGTCTAGAGTCCTTTCCTAAAATCCAAGTTTGCTCAATGGCACGCAATAAGAAACCTCTACTGTCCAGGCAGTGGTGGTACATGCCTTTGATCCCAGCACTCAGGAGGCAGAGGGAGGCTGATATCTGTGAATTCCAGGCCAGCCTGGTCTACAGAGCAAGTTCCAAGACAGGCTCCAGAGCTACACAAGAGAAAGCCTGTCTCAGAGAGAGAGAGAGACAGAGAGAGAGAGAGAGAGAGAGAGAGAGAGAGAGAGAGAGAGGAGAGAAAAGAGAGAAACCTCCATTGCCCATCATTTCTCCTTTTCCTCATTGATAAGGCATCAGTGCCTAGCTGGGCCAGCCAAGGACAGAACTCTTGGGTGGAGCAGCACCTCTTTCTCTTTCCCCTTCCTCCTTCCTGCTGATTGGAACTCAGCGGCAGTTTCTACCACAAAGAAGCAAGCATGAGAATGGCATGGAAGAAGGTTATGGATCAATAAACAGAAGGCATTACACCGACTTTGTACCCCAAGATACCCTTTCCTAGGAGGGCAGTAAACTCCTTGTTGAAGCCAACTGTCTTGGTTTTTGTTTGCTCCCGTTTTCACACACATTCCTACACACAGGCATGCATTATATACGGGCGTCACTATACACACAGACACAGCCTTGACTGGTGCACAGCTGAGGAGTCAGGCTGCCTGAGTTTAAACCTTCAATCCACCCTACCAGCTCCCTGACCTCTGGGATCCACATGCACCTGCTCTCCATGAAGTGGGTCTACAGTGTAGACTCACCGAGTGCCCTAAGCCTGACTTGGGACTCATGCTCTACTGGGTCATCAGGCCCACCAGGGCATGTGTTTATTGCAAATGCTCTAACTGTGCCAGCTCCCATCTCTTCAGGCCAGAAGAACCCTCATTAACCACTCCCAATTTAGAAACACTGGGCACATCAGCCTCACTGTCTTCTTCCAGGGTCCCCAGGGTCCTCACTCCTGGGGAAGCAGGAAACACAGCTGAGTTCAAGAGGGGGGTGGAGTGGGTGGGTAGGGGGACTATGCAGGTGGCACTGAGCACATCTAGAAGCTTCAGAAAGGAGCAAGGAACAACTTGGGAACAGAGAAGCTTTCCTTCCAGCACCCATCCCTACCTACCACAGTCAGCCCTCCCCCGCCCCAACACACACAGCGTGAGCCACTGGAGCTGTAAGGCAGAGGGGTGTGCTGGTGAAAGTAGGTGTGGTCAGAACCCCCTGATAAAGGAGACAAGAAACTCAGACAAGGGAATCTGGCTCAAGGTCACATGGTAGTGGCTGCAGAACCAAGACCCATTCCTAGGGGGTTTTGCCATCTGAAGAATAACACAAGCTGTCAAGTGAGGCGAAGCCCCAGAGGCTAGGAAAGCCCAATTGTGTGGAAACCTGCTGACTTCCTACAGTTCCCATGCAGGTCAGAGATGCCAGTCACAGTCAAGTCTTAGACCCTGTCTCAGAGCCCAGTGCAGGACATCATCCCAAGAAAGATCAACAGGATGTGAGGGAAGGCTCATGCCTAAACCTCCAGTCAGATGGGAAGGGTCCTGTTGCTGGGTCCTGACACGGTTCCCATCTGGGTC